ATGGTGGGATTTTGAGACTTGGTCCAGACAACCCAACCCAGTCTACTTCATCAGCCTTCTACTGATGTTGTGTGTTTTAGAACAAACTTATTCTCACTTAACTAGCTAGAATTGATTCTACTCCCTGCATCTAAATCCGAAATAATATACCAAAGAGCAAAAATCTCCTCCCTCATAACCAGAAAGTGTAAGCTGGGCATGGTAGTGCATGCCTGTTGTACCAGCACTTGGGAGGCTAAAGCCCATGAATTCGAAGCCAATCTGGTCTACATAGTGAGTTCAAGGCTAGCCTGATCTATGTAGTGAGATCCTGTCTCAAAAAAAGAAAAAAAAGAAAAAAAAGAAAATTCGGTGTATGTTTATTTATACCATTAATCCACAATGAAGTATCATTTTATAATTGCAAAAGAATATAACTATTCTTTTCACGGATACTTAAACTTCAGGGCTTTTGTTTTTGTTTTTGAGATGGGGGGTCTTGCTATACTATCAAGGCTGGCCTCAAACTCCTGGCCTCAGATGATACTACTGCCTCTGCCTCCCAAATAGATGGGACTACAGGCAAGGGCCATCCCACTTAGCCAAACTTGAGGGGTTTTGTTGTTGATGGTGTTTGTTTGTGTGTTTATTTTTTGATCAAATGCACATTTACCTTCTACTTTGGGAAAAATAGTATGTTATTTTAGTGTGATCCATTGATGGGATCCCTGTGAAAATTCTTGCTGGTACTGTTGGAAGCTGAAGTTCTCTTCACCTGTATGGTTCTCATCTACTATATCCATTCGTAGAATAAATGTCATCAATATATGCTCCTTCCATAGGACCATTATCCTCTCAATTGGAAATGTTGGCAGAATCTCAATACCACAATGCAATTCTCAATATCACATCAACCTTGTTAAAATAACAAAATATTTAATACTAGGCTTTTTGTTTCTTTAATTCTAAGAAAGCTTACTAAGTAATTTTGGAGAAAAGTCTAAACCCAAAGTACATTTAAAAGTTCACCACCAACCACAAAATTCTAACATGCAAATTAAAAGTAAAAAGCATCTTTGTATCTCTAAAGACTCCACACTTTTTTTTTTTTCCCCTTTGGCTTTTCTCCGGTACCGGGAACCGAACTCACGACCTTGCGCTTGCCAGGCAGGCGCTTTGCCGCTGAGCTAAATCCCCAGCCCCGCATCTTTGTATCTCTAAATCCTAATACACAATATTAGATCTCAGAAGGTACCATTATCCTTGGTTCCAGTATTTAGTTTTACAGTGCTACGGATTGAATCAAGGGCCTCATGCATATTAATAAGTACACATTGTACCACTGAGCTACACCTCTATCCAGTGGCTCCTGGTATTTAGAAGGATCCAGGCAATCAGATCTTTTTATATGCCCCAGCTGGAGTGACTGGTCAGGAATCTAAGAAAAACACAGAGGTCAAAGGAGCTAGACAATCTGGGAAACAATAAGTAGCCAATGTGATTTGGGAAGCCTGTCCCTAGCCCTGCTCAGATACCCAAAAAACATCCTTGTTCGTAAAAGACAACTCATTTTCAGAGGACAAAATCAAGTACAATTAAGTCTGAATGACATAGGAAAAAAATCAGTCCTCTAGCCCTTTCATTCTATTGCATAACTATTTCAGAGCAACAAAGTTACAAGGGAGGCAATTCTGAAGATAAACTTCAAGCAAAACTCAGCTGAAATTCAAGTTTCTCTATTAAGAGACAGTCCTCTGTTGCCACTGTCCTTCAGGTCTCTCCCTAAATTTAAAGTGGGGGCCCCCTGGGCAACCAAGGTCATGCCATCACATACATGCTTGCCACATCTAGGGTAAAATTTCCCATTGTATCCAAGAAGCAGAAGAATCTTAAATAAGTTTTGTCAGACCCTTCTCTTAGCAGAAAATGATAGCACTTGACAAAAGGACATAACCCTTCCTAGGATTTGGGCTACAAAAATAAGAGCTGGGAGGGCTGAGGGGGAGTGGAAGGGGAACTAGGTGGAATAAAGATATTCCATTCACAGGATCCTAGTAACCTCAGTGAATGTAAGCACTATATATCCTAAACATGAGCTAAGGTTAACAGTATCAATAAGGATGAAAACGGGAAAGGGAAATCAGAGGAAAGAGGGGTGGAAGGGGATAAAAAAAAGACAGCAGGTTGTAGTATGTACATGTACCAATTCACCAAGACAAATGCAAAGTGCATGTGCTGCAAACACACAGTGAGGAAAAATAAAAGCAGAGATGGTTGGTATCATCTCTGTTCTTCTATCCAGGGCTTTGGGGCCTTATTTCCATTCTTTAAGTCTTCAGTAGGTACTAACTACTGGAAAACATTTTCAGGCATCTTTCTTGTTCCTAACCACTTTGCTGTCATTGCCCTTGCCTTTTACCTTAAATCCTGATGAGATTTCAGAAACTCCCCATGAATATATTAGAAAAACTTAGCAACTAATTCCTCCTCAAAAATCTTTACAATGCGTTTAGATGAAACGTTTATACTCCAGATGAGGAAAAATGTGAACAAAGGAGCCCACACACAAATCAAGGGCCTCGGAGGCAGAGCCAGTTCCTAAACAACATCGACGCCACCTCTGCTGGGTTCCCAAGGTTGGCTCAGTCACAGCTATCAGCTTCCAAATACAGGCCCAATGGGCCCCCCTATGCTAGAGCCCGGCCATATACACCACTCTCACCACCATCCTTTGAAGAAAGTTCTGAGAGTTAAAAGTTCTTCCACAGGCTGGCAGGCAGATTTCCAAAAGGCCTCGAGGAGATGGAGCTCTGCCAAAGCAATGGCAACTCCCCAAACAGTGTAAACTTTGTGAGGATCAAGGGAAGGACTTTGATATCCATGTATGTGTGTGGATAAAGGAGTTTAGTTACATAACATCAAACACCAAAAATGTACATGTTCGTGCACTAGAGTGCCTTACAAACAAAATACTTTCAAGCTAAAACCTAAAGTAATTTACTTTTAACCCAATATGTAAACTACACTGCTTCATTTTTATATTTTACACAAATACAGAAGTGGTTTTTAATTTCTTTTAATAGTTTTTTTTTTAAATTTTGAGTCAGGGTCTCACTATGTTGCCCAGGTGGGACCTGAATTTGAGATCTTCCTGCCTCAGGTTCCCTAAGTGCTAGGATGATAGGCATATGATGAGCCAGGCTTGGTTTTCAATTTTTTTAAGAATGACTACTACCTAAAGTTATGCCAGTTTATGTTTTACACACAGAGTATTTATTTGAATAAAAGTTTTTATGGAACTGAAAAATGTGCTTTTCACAATCAGGGCTCATTAAAATATTTTAATACTAATACACATTTTCTTCTCTCAGAAAGACACAAAATTCTTAAATATCACAATAGTATTTAACAACAAAACTCTATTGACATAAATATCAAGTGTTTTACAAACAAAATGATCTATATGTTCAAAACACTTTCAACAAATTTTCCACGTATATTTTTTGGGGCATTATACTACAGGCCAAAATGGAATGAGGATTGCTTCAATTAGGAAAGTTATTTCAGTCTTTCACAGTTTAATGTGTATGCAGTCTTACTATTGAGGAAATAGAGAACTGAATTATTTTCCATCTCTTAACAGTCTTGTGAAAGAACAGAAAAATATCCAGTGGGCTGCATTTCTTGCTGGAGTCAATTGTTAGGATGAACCATTAGTGTTTGTTCCTCCGCTTGCAAACGATTTCTGAATGCTTTCAACATGCACATCCCAACTGTTGAGTAATTGCCTGGTCTATTTACCTGGGATGTGCTGCTTTTGAAGTGGAGCTGATGATGTGTATCCTTTCAATTTAATGGATGAGGTAGCTCAATCAGTGTAATCGCCAAGGACTGAAATGAAGGGAAAAGGAAGAAAACAAGAGTTCTTCCTATTAGCGGACACGCACATCCTTCCCACTCATCCATCACACTGCTTTGAAGAGATAAGAGGAAAGAAGAAATGCAGAGTGGATGATTAATCCTGAGAGAGCACATGGGACAGAATGGATGGGAAAAAAAATCTCATCTAAAGGGTGGTTCTGTGTCCCCAGTCAGGCCGCCACATTTTCATTTACATATTTATTTGCCAACTTTCTGGATTGTAAGAAACATTTCATCAGATAAACCCCACATACATATAAACAGTACAGTATGGCACTGGGCACCGATTTAACACACTCGTGAAGTACACATGATTGTAAGGCACTTTCGCGGTTTACAAAAGTGAATGCCTCAAAGTTAGATATTTACCCAAAATGGAGAAATATCCTCATAAAAGTTTACAGGAGCTGTGAAAAACCGAAGAGGTATGAATCATTACTGATCATGGCCAACGCCTTGAGAAACTTAGTGAAACTAAAGGACAGAGATGTAAGAGATAAGTTGTTGAAAATTACAGAGTTCTATACATCACTGTCAGAATTCTAAAAGTAGTCTTATAAAAACCTATCCGTTCTAGATATGTTTAGTTTCTCAACCACAGAAGACTGTAGAGTGGGCAACAATCTCATATAATATACTGCTCTGAGATTTAGTGATGACACTACACAGTGTTACAAAGAGCCTTACAAAGATACTGGGAATAATAAAGACCAAATTTTAAATTAAATGTGAGATTTCATGTATTTTCTTCAAATCAAGAATTTTTAATTTCCAAATAAAATTTCACTGCTCTAAATACTGTGACCTTTCCTATGACTTAAAAATTAAAAGTTTTGCAACCTACAATATATCTTCTTGTCTAGGAAAGACAAAAAAGCTTAGATGTTATAAAGCAAAAAAACTGATTTACTGGTATTCTTTTTAAACAGCATCTTGTTAAGTTGCAAAGTTGGCCCGGCCTTGCAAGCCTCCTGCCTCACCTTTTCAAGAGCTGGGACTATAGGCACATGCCACCATGCCTGGCTGATAATCAATTTTTTAAATGACATCTTTACCCAAAATTCTTTTTTTTTTTTTTTTTTTTTTTTTTTTTTCTCCAGTACCAGGAACCGAACTCACAACCTTGCGCTTGCCAGGCAGGCGCTTTGCCGCTGAGCTAAATCCCCAGCCCCTTTACCCAAAATTCTAAAAGAGCCAAATCTTTTGATCATGACTAGTAAGAAAAGATCATTAACGATGTCAGGAATTCAGGACAGATAAAACTGCACTTTTTTCTCCATTCGCAAAGTGAAAGAATGTGTACTTTAACTTTTTACAAAATCATTTCTATGTTACATAATTTTAATAATTCATTGGTTATTTTTTACCTAAAAGTGAGATTTTAAAACCATCTGTTTAAATCGTAGTTAAAAACGCAATTAGTACAGTACATTCTTGTTGCTGATGTGGACGTTACAATGCGTATCTAGCCCCTTTCATTATTTACAACGCAAATCTTTGCTGTATTTCGTCTACAATCATTCCAGAAATTGCGAGGGAAGAAGTGGCAGCAGGAGAAGGTGCATTTCTCACATGAAGAATTCGATTTCCAAAGTCCCCAACTCCCCCATCAAATACAAAATCTTCCACCAGGTTGCCCTCTCTGTCCAGGGCTTGGGCTCTCACTCCAGCTGGACCTCTGCAAAAGCAATACCGTGTTATTCAACTGACCTGAACAGACAGAGCATGTTACGAGCTAGTAATCTGCAAAGTCTTCTTAAAGCAATACAGTTATGTGGAAATCTAGTAAGCTATGTTTGCCAAAGGCTGCCAGTGGCAGCCTGGCAAACCTGTAGCCTTAGCCTAGATTAAAGCATGATGCCTATTACGTAACAGGGCAATAAATCCTTATCAAAAAAATGTATAAGTGGGTAAGTTACTTATAAACACGTTTTTCCAAAAGTAGCAGATAAATTTGTTTAGTTAGCATAGATGTACAGTACTTTTATTTAAATCTGTGAGTGAATTTGGTATAAAACACCAATCAATGGCAACAATAAGGTTTTTCTTGCTAATACAAAGCAATTTGAAAATAGGAGTTAAGTGTTTCATTTGTATTCCTTATTTATTTTTCTACTTTGTCTTGATTGAACACAAAATTTATGCAGAAATATATTACAAGGTAAGAAGCTCTCATTTTGTAGTTTTAAAATAGTGTAACTTTCAATATCAGGAAAATAATTAATTAGAGATGATAGGAAAAGCATAAAAATGAACTGAGCAGTATATAATGCAGTGAGACTCTCTACTATCTAAGTTCTGTTTTATAATATTTGAATTTACCAATGAGATTTCTGTTATTTTTTAAAAGAGTTAAAATTTACCAGTGACATTAATTGACTGCAGTACCAGGGACTGGACCCAGGACCTTGCGCCTGCTAGGCAAGTGCTCTACCACTGACCTATACCGTCAGCTCTACAAATTGAATTAAGTGTTTTGAAAACCCAAAAGCACCTGCCTGCTTTGAAACTTTTTAAAGAAACTCAGTGGGAAAAAAGTTCATTCATAGATAGATAGGTAGATAGACAGACAGATAGACAGACAGAGAGATCTAGATCTAAGCAGTACTTTGGTTCACGAACTTGGTTCTTTCCACAATTCTGGTCACAAACCAAGTTGGACGAGAACCGAATCAAATCCAATGGTTAGGTTCAGGGTTGACTTATGGGGAAATTTGATTTGGTTCTTGTCCAATCTGTTTTGCAACCAGTGTTGTGGAGAGAACTGAGTTCATGAGCTGAGGTACCACTGCATATAGATACAGCTATCTCATCAAGCTCAAGACAGCAGGCAACAATGTGAAACATTTTTTAGTTTCTGGGACAACTCCGATAAGTGCTTGAGGAAGATACAAAGAACAAATTGAGAGCTCTGTCCTCTAAGACCTCACCCTGGCTGAAGACAGGTAAGGGTAGTCATACCTATTACTTATCAAGTGCTTACTATGTACAAGGAATTATCTCGTTTGTCCTCACAACAACTCTAAAAGGCTCATGCTGTTTATATTTAACAGCAAAAAACCACAGAGAGATTATCTTTCCTGGAGCCACAAAACTACACTGTTCTTTTACAGAGAAGTAAGAATAACAAGAAGTAGGGAATATTATAGTAAAGTTATCTGCCCTAGAGAAGCTTGCTGCGCATCTGGAGAGGATATTTTTGAACTGGAAGAATTTCCAGGTAAGAGTCTGGTACATCTTGTAGAATACAAAAATAACAGCAACGAAAGTTGGTATTCTGTAGGGCACGCATGCAAATCAAGGTTATCAGCCAGCGTGGGGCCCGTTCTGCACATTATTTACTGCTTATCTCCACCCATCAGAGCAGCACTTCTCCCTCTTCTCAGAAAATGCTGCCGTTGCAGGTGTCTCCATGTTGTAGTTTTCTTGGCCCTTTCCTTGTATCTGGCAGAAGATCAATATATTGGGCATACACAGTAGTATAAGCAGCCACTAAGATTCAGTGTTCAATGTAAAATGACCTTGCTCTGTCCAGAGGTTTAATCGGTACATTCCTCCTGCTCTGTCCAAACATTTAGAAGATAATACCAATTAACCACAATTAAAAATGCATCTACACTTATTTCTCTTATATCAACAAATTATATGTGCAATGTCACCTACACTTTTTCTCCAGTGGTAGTAGGAATAAAACACAGGTTCTTCTCACTGAGCTACATGGCCAACTCTTATTTTTTGAGACAAGATCTTGCTAAATTCCAAGGCTGCTCAGGCGGAGCTAGAATTCGTGATCCTCCTGTCTCAGCTTCCCAGATTGCAGGGATTACAGGCATGGCCAGGAGGGTTGGCTTTTTCTTAAGATCTCAGTTTAGTTCAAATCAACATGAAATGTCTAAGCTACCAAATTCATGGTACTGTATTCCTTTTTCAGTATGTAAGGCAACTTCATGGTTCTTAGAAAAATTATAAATGCAGGCTTCCCCTCTCAACACTCCCGCCTGAGATAAGTATTGCAAGTTGAAGTTTCAGGTAAGCCATAAATCCTCTGAGGGCCACACCAGTGTCTCTTGTAACACCTTACCTCATCTCCCTGACTAGATTTGTTTCTCGCAGGTGTTCAATAATGCTAGAAACTTTTCACATTTTAACTTTTAATTCTTTTAACTATTTTAACAACTGAATGAACAAATGACTCAAAATTAATTTCTGTAAATTCAGTTAAATTTAATGTAGTGATACCTATAGCTGTATATTTTGCTACATTTACAGGCAAATTTAATGGGAAAGTGTATCTTAGATACATAAACATGTCCAGAAACAACAGGTGATGTGACTAATTCCACTCATTCACCTCAGAAGTCCTGCGTGGCACTCCCGTCACATGGCAGCACCACAACGTGAGCTGGGGAAGCAGCTACGAAAGGCTGGGTCTGACATCTCTGCCCAGTCTCAAATAGGATAACCTAGGATTTTATAAAGCTCGTGCAGGGGTCTACTGCTATCTTAAAAATTCAAGTCTAGGTGAATGCATTTAAACTGGAAGTGGTGGTATGGGGAAAGTAAACAATTCCAACTTAATTTTCAGGCATAAAGGGGTGGATTATTACCAATCTTTATCATAACTGTACTATGAACATGGTTTATCTATGTCCAATTTTTCTTCTAAAAAGTTTACCACCCCAGCCCTCTATGCTCCATTTTTGAATTTTGTTTTTTTAGTCTTTTTTTCTTTTTCCCCTGGTACCGGGAATCGAACTCACAACCTCGCACGTTTCAGGTAGGCGCTATGCCGCTGCGCTAAATCCCCAGCCCCAGATTTTTGAATTTTGTTGAGAACCTGTTTTTGGCTTAGAACATTTTGAGCTTTTATAAATGTTCTATGAAGACTTTAATTAATATAAGTAATGGGGCAGAGGATCTACAAGTATTTTTATTCAAATCTTCTAGTATTTCATATGCTTAATCCATTTTTTATCAACTGATATGTCTTAAAATCATGTGGCACAATTATTGATTTCTGCTTGCAATTATGGCAACTTTTCCTTCTGTCTTTCATAGCTATGGTATTACATGCAGTAAGTTTATCTCTAATGATATGCCCTAATACATTTCCTTTGTCTTCAATATTCCTAATTTTTTATTTCCAGTAAATACTTTTGCCTTAAATTATACTTTTCTGAAATAAACATACTACCCATTTTTAAATAAACATTTTCCTAGTATATTAGATGTGTTTCTTAAATCCAGCCTGATAATCTCTGCCTTCACAACTGAGTTAAGCACATTTACATTTATTATAATTACCAGTATATTTAATTTTTATCATATTACTTGACCTGATTTTTCTGAGGTTTCTATTCCCTCTTTCTTACTGAGTTTTCTAGATTTTTAAAAACCTCTTCTACCGGTTTAGAAGTCTGTTTCCATTCTTGCTTTAGTTTTACTTATTCAGATGAAACTTACTTATCAATTGCTCTGAAACTCCCATGACAGATAAACTGGAGTTTTTCATTTTCTTCATTTAACGTCTACACGTGTTTTTTTATCTCGCAGTTTTTCTAAGTCCTTTAGATTTTTTTCTAATTCATTAACTTTCCTTTAGGTAGATCTAACCAGCTGTTTAGCCTAATCATTTAAGTTTTAAATTTTAAAAGCTCTCTTTTTCATTTCTAGAAGTTCTACTTGGCCCATTTCAAACTTTGCCTAGTATTTTTTATTCTTTTTTCATGTTTGTATGCATTGTTTTTAATTCACTGAAGCATACTCATTTTATCATTTCCAATATTACTATTATCCATAGCTGTTAGGAGTCTAATTTTGCTATTTATTTCACCTGGTGACTCGCATGGTGACGTAAGTCTGACTATGAAGCCTGGTGCATGCAGTAGGGCTTTTCTGAGGGAATTATACTGGATGAAGGGTATAATCCTCCACAAGTTTTACACTTGCTTCTATCAGGGGCTCCAGGGAGTGCTTTTGTTTATGGGAAACTTTAAACACATAAGAAAAGTGAAAAGAACAGTATAATGAACTCCCACATATGAATTACCATTATCTTTATGTACAACAAATGTTTCAATCACACACATACAATTTAATTTCATCTGTATCCTCCAATATCCCTACAACACTCACTTTCCCCTGCTGGATTATTTTAAAGCAAACCCTAGATAACATACCATTTCACATCAGTGTGTATTGAAAGGATTCTCAATAATAAAACAACAATTGCTTAGCATCAACAATATTTAGTCTAAAGTTAAATTATCCTAAGTTTTCACTTTCTCTTTTCTGAAAAAGAGAGGCAGTGGTAATTTACTGAAATAGAGGAGAGAGAGATCTCAAGCGCAAGATTCAGACAGAAAGAGTGGTTCATTAGTTTGCAGCAGGATCTGAACAAGTGTGGGTCCACTTTCTAAGGTAATTTCTCAGCTACAGTTACTAAACAAAGCAGGTGGTACACATTCAAGTTCCCGCTCCCCGCCCCTCCCCAAAACAGACAAAGCTCCTCAACACTTTCGGGTGCCAAGGGGAACATGTTTTTCCAAATGTCCTTCTGATTAAGAATGTGGTCCTTCAATAGTCCTGCTTTATTCTGAGTCTCAGTTCCAACTTTCTACCTTTTGTAGACCCCAGAGCTCCTTTCTAGCACTCAAATGGCAATTAAATACAAATATTCAGTGTTTTATGTCTTGTTTTGTGTGGTGGATATATGAATTATACAACTATCAAAAATTCACTGAGCACTTAAGATCTACATATTTCATTGCATGTGAATCAAACATCAATTAAAAATATAACTCTAGCCCCTCAGGTTTTCTTTCTCTCTTTCTCTCTCTTTCTTTCATCTCATTTTGTTGAGACAGCATCTTACTATGTAGCCCAGGCTGGCCTCAAACTCACAGCAATTCTCCTGCCTCAGCCTCCTAAGTGCTGGCATTACAAATGTGTGCCATCATGTCCGCAAGTCCCTCAGTATTGAGATCAGCAAATCTTCCCTACCTGTCTTGGTCAGCATCAGGACCAGCTCTTTGTAGGAAGAGTTTTTAATTTCTTCTTTGTATTCTGGTCATGGGATAACCCTTACTTTCCTGCGTTCTTGGGTACATGCTTTTTAAAGAAGTTCATTATATTTTCTTTCAGTATTTTGTAGTGTGCAGGTTGATACTAGTGGTCTCAACCAAGGGAGATTTTGCCCCCTAGAGGACACTGGTAACGTCTGGAGACATTTCTGGTTGCCACAACCAGGGGGAAGAATCAAGTTCAGGGATGCTGTTAAACATCCTACAATGAACTGGATGGTCCCCGGCAACAAAGAATTATTTGGGCCAAAATGTCAACAGTACCCACTCTAATCTGTATCACCATAAATCACAGCAGGTTAACTGTAGAAACGTTTAGCTTTTGTGTTTCACAACGACATGGTATAGTTATCATTCATGATGAAAAACATCTGTCTTGAAGGTTTACTCCAGGGCCGGGGATATAGCTCAGTGGCACAGCACCTGCCTAGCAAGCACAAGGTCCTGACTTTGATTTCCAGTACCAAAAAAATTTTAAAAAAAAGGAAGGAAATTTACCCCAGAATTCACAAATACGACATTTTGCAAAGCGATGTGTGGGAAAATGGGAGGATTACAGCACATTTATATCTTCATCTTTTCCATCCTTACAGTGCTACTAGATACAAACTATTAGATTAGCATGTCAAAATTAAAGGACAAACCAAACAGATTAGAGGAGCTCAGAGCTAAAATTAAGACCCTTAGAGATCACCATTTAAGCAAGAGAAGTTGTATACCTAACGCATGCACTTGGCAGGTAATAAGTTTTCATTCCAATCTGATGTTCATTAGTAAACAAATGCCCGAAATGCTCTGGCTAGACAATGAGAAGAAGATGGATGTCCTTTGGTGGCTACTGACGTTTAAGGATGTACTCCCTGGGTAACACGCCACACTGGAAGTGAAAATTCTATTGCTTTTACTACCTAAGACTGTCGGATTTGCTTCTGACACAATACTAATAGGCCATTTGCAGCTTGTAATACACTGGGCTGCAAGAAGAATAAGACAAGGAGGACTTGTTCTTCACGTTGTGGAAAAGCCTATTGATCTTATTATTTAATATTCAGGCATGTAACAAAGTATAGAGAATAACATAGTGGATAGCTATTTTGTTACAAAACAGCTTAAGAAATAGCACATTAGAGATATGATAGGAGCCCCTGTGGATTCTCAGGATCATGTTCCTTCCCTCCTCAGAAGCAGATTTTCTCTTAAGTACTTATCAGTCCCATGCTTGTTTTTATTTATATATTACATGTGAATCCATAAACAATGTGTGGTATTATTATGCTTGTTTTTAAACTTCTATAAATAACATCAAATATATCTTCTTCTATTCCTTCTTATTGATAATTCCCTGCATTTAATAGCTACAGGAATCAAGAGTAGAAACAAATGTAATTGCTGACTGTCCCCAGCATCTCTGTCTTGAAAAAGGAACTCTTCTGTGCTTGAGCTGAATCTGTCCTCAGATGCATCTGCCTACATTGCCAACGAGGCTGGTAACAAATTCCCATCTTACACCCAGAGACAGGAATCGCTAACACTCATAAGCCCCAAGTCTCACTTTACCATATGAAGGGTTTCTATGAGAGGGTGCTGACTGAATATGGGTTTTGAATTCACTACAGCCATTTCTACATAGAATTCACTATGCTGACCTGGTGTGTTTCCCAAGGAATATTAATAGCCAGTAACAGAAACCAGATCTGACCAGTCTGTTTTCAGATATAAAACACTGCAAGTCTTTAAAAGCAAATCACTGAGAAACTACAGCCCAGATATTTTTATCTCTTCCATTTCAGAAGGTGAGTAGAAGGGCAAATTAGATAAGAGTAAAAATATTAGCTGATTTAATAGTTCTTCTAAGAATTTGCAGAGGCCGGTCCCAGAATGATACATTAGAGTCAGATTTAGACCAGGATGATCCCTGAAGGGAGACAGCTGACGTGATTGCTGCTCTCTTCCCAGATCCAGTCAAGCCTGCTGACACTCTACACCAGGCTAGCTCAGCAGCTGTTACAGAGGAGTAGACAGTACTCTGGAGAGTTGTGAAGGATGGACTGTAAGTGCAGGGTGAGTACCCCAGAGTACACTGCTGATTGGGCCTAACAAATGGCTTGTTCAGCGAAAAAGGTGAAGGTTCTAAAAATATCACAAGAGAGGAAAAACAAATAGGCTTGGCTGGGATTTAGGATAATCTATACAGTGAGTCTGGAAAGACATATCTAAGGAAAAGAATACACACACACACACACACACACACACACACACACACACACGACACATGTCACCTTTACTTTGCCCTACACCCCTGCAGCAAGGACTTTGGTTGTTACCACACTGCTTCCCCCTGCTATCCTGCAGTAGTCTCAGAGGGTCTGATAAAGAACAAAGGAGCAGAGAGGGAGCAAGGTGAGCTGGCCAGGTCTACAAATGTGTTTATAAAGGTTTTAAGAACTGACCAAAGTATAAAGTTTTAATGTGTTTATTAGCTAATTAGTTAACATGGTAATCTATTCTTTTACACAGAATGAAAGTCAAAAGGTTGTGGAATCACACAGCAAGTGTCCAGGAGACTTAAAAAAAATTCAGACAGGATGATTTTAGCATGCATGAGAGCTCAACACAAAGGCTAAGGTGGCATCACAGGGAAGCGAAGATGGAGAGTTTAATTTAGCGGTATAAAGAGGTGTAGCTAATTACAAGTGGCCCAGAAACAAGGGCCATAACATAGCAATGCTTACTCCATGCCTTGCAGAAGGAATTTAATAATTTGTTAGGAAAGAAAGAGCAAAGAGTCAGTGGGCAAAGTGTGCTTAGTGATCACCAAGTTGGACCTATCTCTCAAATTCACCAAGATCAGGAATGTATTTATAACACTGATCAGTTTTCCTTACCTGAGTATATCACTGGTAGTAATTTCAGGGATAAACTTTTGAAGGTGCCTCACTGTTGCACCAAGAAAACAGGCTTTATACATTTCATTAACTCCATAGGAGAAATTCTGGAAAATCAGTTTACTTAAGCCACTGAAAGCAAACAAAACAAAATTCTTTAACAGAGAAAGGAATTCTTTATTAGCATAAAGCACCTTTACAACTATTAGATTCTTTTCTTTTTTTGGTGGTATCACAGAAACAAAATTCTTTAACAGAGAAAGGAATTCTTTATTAGCATAAAGCACCTTTACAACTATTAGATTCTTTTCTTTTTTTGGTGGTATCACAGAAATCTAGGCAAAGTCAGAAGAACTACATATTAAAAGAAAATCAACTTTTGGCCAATATAAGAAGGGAACTTCATCAACTGAAGCAATCAACACCCTGAATTCCCAAAGAGTGCTGACAGCCTTGTTGCTGAGTCACTAAACTTCCTAGGCGGGGCTTGAACTTGTGATCATCCTGCCTCAACCTTTCAGAGTATTGGGGTTACATTAGCAGGTCTTTAAATACTTCCTGATGTTATTTCTTACAGTAGTGAAGCATCTGCATCTTAGACCAACACAACAGTACTGTTAGTTTTCCACAGAAGGAAACAGGTTTGGTAATCCACAGTTTCCTCAGTAGTTTACAAAGTAATGGGACTGACTTGAAATGTTCTTATCAAAGTAAGCCATTTACTGATTTTGAAAGAACCTTTTTTTCTTTTTCAAACTCAACTAGAAAGTGAGTGATATGATTTGGATTGCTGGATGTATGAATGATTCCTCTTGATCTTACTTTCTTTTAACCAGGATATCACCCTGGCTCATCAGAATTTTCTTGAAGTAGTTAAAGCATTATTCTTAGAGCTGGGGTTGTAGCTCAGTGGGGGCACTCATGCTTGTTATGAGCGCTCCTGAGTTCACTCCCCAGCACCAAGGAAACAATCAAAAATTATTCTACAACAATCTTAATTTAGTTTAATAAAAACAATATTCCAATCACAAACACGGGGATTCATCCCAGAAGAAGATCAAAATTTTCCACATCAAAATATATATATATATATATATATATTTTTTTTTTTTTTTTTTTGAGATCACATCTCAGATTGCCTTGGCCTCAAACTTCTGATCCTTTTTTGTTGGGCTCCCAAGCAGCTGGAACTACAGAAGGGCACCACTGCACTCAATGTAAAAAAATTTTTCAAAGGAAAGTTGTTACCTGTTGATAATTATATCCATGGCATCTCTGGCACTGAAGTCAAAGGGTCTATAACCTTCCCGTTTAAAGGCAAGTACTGCATTAGGCCCCAGCCAAATACTACCATCCATTCTTGGCGTAAAGTGAACTCCTAAGAAAGGGAACCGGCTATCTGGGACCTATAGATTTAATACAGCAAGCAACTATTAGAGCCATTTCACATTCTACTTTAGCACAGAAACAAATACCCAATTTGTAATAGAAACACTTCCTTCTATGCATGTCATCTGCACTTGAGCTGTACTCAGATGTTTTCCTATTAACGTGCTTCTGCTCAGAAATGCCACCTAAGAAACCTGGATGCTACGGACAGAAATGCACACTACCCTATCCTTCCTTCTGGGTGAAGAATACAAAAGGTGAGCTCTCTACCTCAGATTATTACCTCTCCTTTCTACATCTAGGGATGTCTGTGACTTGCCAGTAAAATCAGGGCTGCTACGAGAAAAAAGCCAGATTCACTGAACAGGCTTTTATAAAGTGGGATTGTCTGGGACTGAAGCAAATGAATTTGATAGTTTGGCAAGGTCGAAAACATCAAATAGTTAAGTATTAGCTGAATCAACTGCATCTGGGTCAACTTAATATATATTTGAAGGAATTCATTCATTTCCAGGGTAGTTTCAGACAGAAGAATGACGTTTTCACTTAAATGCCTCTGTTTTCTGCCTGCTGGGATTACAGAGTGGCCACATCCCCTTTCTGTGAGGAGAGAAAGAGGGCTGGGTATCTGGGAAAGTTCCCCTGTGTGTCTCCCTCTGCCAGAGAGCAGGAAGAATCTGCTTCTCTCTTGCTAGCACTTCCCATAATGCACTCTTGCCTTCTGGAGACAGAGACTTGTATGCAATTAATTATAATTTAATGACCAGGATATTAGTCTACAGATCTAGCAATTTAACAACATAAATAGCCCTCTAGCCCCCACTCCCTTTGGTGGAACTAGGAATCCAGCGCCTTGCATATACCATGCTGCACAAATACCTTACCACTAACCTGTGTGTGCATCTCTATTCCTTAAACTTTCATTTTGAGACAGTCTTTAGATCCTCCTGCCTCAGCCTCCTGAGTAGCTAGGATTACAAGTGAGTGCCACAGGTCTCTCCTCTCTTACTCCACATGTTTGTGTTTCCTTTATGTCTACAACCAGCCTGAGAAGATGAGAAGGCAGAAACATCATTACCTACCGGGTAAATATTTCCTTTCACAAGATAGCTTTTTTCTGGCTTCAAAAGCAGGTAATCTCCCCGGAATGGTACAATTCGAGGATCAGGACTGCAGCCACTCAACTCTGAAATACGGTCTGAGTAAAGTCCTGCACATGTCACAACATACTGACATCGAATTTCCTCTCTCTGGTGCAAAATAAAAGAGCATGATTAGCTTCCATACGTAAGAGAGAACAGGTGGTAATCTTCTGTGTGTGCAAGCTAAAAAATTTGACCTGAACATGGAATAGTAATTAACGGAGGTTGAAAAGTGGGAGGAAGGTTGGATTTTATCAGTTCATGCTGTATATGTAGAACTATCACATTGAACCCCATTAATATGTACAACTAATATATACTAATCAAAAAATAAAATATTTTTTTAAAAAGCATGATTTGTATAGGTAGAAGCAGAAAGGTCAAGAGGGAAAAAGAAATGACAGAAGAGAAAATAGGGATATAGAAACAGACTTTTTTCTGAAAAAGAAATTTCAACGTACATATCAGCAAAATAAGTTCTTCAGCATTTAGGTGACAGCTAGAAACAATACAGCGGCAACAGGATGTCACCTAAATTCTGTACTTTAAGTTAGAGGTAATAATGGCTTACCTACTAAGGATACAAGATACACATGCATGCATAGACACACACACTTATTCTACTAGGACCTAGCATACAACTCTTTAACTATTTGTTACAGGAAGCAGCAGACTTTGTTTAGATGACCTCTGCCAATTCGGCCTCTTCTCAATTTCAGAACGTTTCTTCCATCCTATCTGAGCAGTCATTCTGTCATGGTTGGGTTGTTCTGTACTCAATAATCCCACTCGGTTCCAACAGTAACCTACCCACTGAGCAGTTTCTCCTTCTGGCTCAATTTATACTTTGCAAACTGAGGCTACTTTAGAGACCGCATTCGCTCAGCCCACATTTAGTGAGAGCACACACTACAGCCAAAGTATGCTTTCATGATTAGGAGAATACTAACCTTAGGTTGTTATAATTTCCCACAAATTTTATTCCATGACTAGCTGCATATTTTTAGCTTTAGTTCATCCTGCCAGGCTTAGCCAACTTACCACCCTATTTCCTAAATGATATCATTTGACCTGAATTCACCACTAGATACTAATTCTCATCTTTTCGTTCCCTTCCCTCCCCTCCCCTCCCTTCCCTTCCCTTCCCTTCCCTTCCTTCTCCTTTCCTTCCCTTCCTTTCCCTTCTCTTCCCCACCTCTCCCTTCTACTCTCCTCCTCTGCTCCCCCTCTCCTCCCCTCCCCGCCCTCCCCCTCCTCTTTTCCTTCTTTTTTCCTTTCTCCTCTCCTCTCCTCTCCTTTCTTTTCTTAAGGTGGGACCTCACTACATTGCCTAGCTGGCCCAGCACTTCTGGGCCCAAGCAGACACCCCACTTCAGCTTCCCAAGTAACTGGGATGCCGAGTATACACCACCATCACACCGAGGCCTACTTATAAAGAAGTAGCAACTCTTTGCTCCTGGTACCTTTCTGTTCTCATTTCCAAGCAATCTACTTCTGAAGACTTGGAGTTCTCATCTGTTTCAACTCACTCTTTCTCTCTTTCTTTCTTCTCTTTCTTTTTCCCTTTCCCTTTCCTTTTCCCTTTTCTTTCTTTCTTTCTTTCTTTCTTTCTTTCTTTCTTTCTTTCTTTCTTTCTTTCTTTCCTTTTCTTTCTTTCTTTTCTTTCCTTCCTTCCTTCCTTCCTTCTTTCCTTCTTTCTTTCCTTCTTTCCTTCTTTCCTTTCTCTCTCTCCATCCCTCACTGACTCGGCCTTATTCTACTAAACTATATTTTCTGTTCTATATGCACCCTATTTTTTTGGTCAGAAATGTAAGCCTCTTTTCAAGAGTTATATAAGTCACATTTTGAGAAAACTCAGATTAAACTTCTCTGTAGTAAATCTGAGTCAGCTAGACTAATTCATGATACTTGCAAGACCCTTGAAGTCAGGAAGGCTATGTCAGTGATAACAACAACAACAACAGCAAAAACTGCTTCCTTCTGAGTAGGCTAATATCTTTCCTGTTCATCTACAGTTATGTACCAGAAGTACAAGAAATACCTTTTTGTGATATATATCTACCAGTTCCTACTTTAAAAGATCAGCAATTCTTTTATTCTTGGAACATGAAATGTAGATAAGTGTTATGATAAATGTATAGATAACAACAAAATTGATAGAGTAGTACCAGCATGCAATACTTCTCTTTAAAAAACAACTCAACAGTTTTAAAGGAAGACATGATTAACAATGGTCACAGGTCTCTGAAATCATGTTTTACATGAAACAATCATTAAATTCAGTAACATACTAATTCACTTCCAAATTAAAATTTAGGTCAACACTGAATGATATATTTGCTCAATTATAAATTTCCTTTTAAAAACAAACTGTCTCTAGGCCTCTTTCATAAATAAAAAAGACGTTTCTCCTTGTCTCATGTATAAATTTTAATCTGCAAATCCTCCAAGTTAATTTTTAAAATTCCTTTTCTTTTAACTCCTCATAAGGCACAAAAGTTCAATCTGATAAGTGGGTGCAAAATTTGAATTTGAATCCCAGAAACTATACTAAAGGAAAATGCCAAGATAAGCAACGCTTCTACAGTAACTGGACAGAACACATAGCCACCAGTGTCCCACAGGGCCCTGCAGGTCTTCTATCACATGGTGCCACGCTTGAGTGAAAATCTCCCATGATGAGGGCAGGGACAGAAATAGGCTTCTCCTGTTTCTTTAAGTGGAGACCCTGGTTACTCTGCTACTTGCCCACCTGATCTAGGGGGTCTCCAAACCAAAGTGTTTGGAATAGGCAGTGATATTTTACAAAGGCTTTAGCAGGCCCTCACAGGCAAATCACAATACAGAATGTTAGGATTTTGGAGGAGAAGCTAACACCATCCTCTGTAAATAATAATCTTCCTTTTGAGAAAGCGCTTCTGGCTTTGACTAAACATTTGACCACAGGTCACCAAGTTACCATGTGAACTACCCGTTATTAACTGGGTGTTGTCTGATTCACCAAGCCACAAAACTGGGTGTGTACAACAGCACTCCATCATCAAGAGGAGGTGTAATACATAAGATTAGAGTTTTACAGGTCCTGCAGGCACATATAAGTTACCGAGGCATGTGGTTCACGACATCTACTCCTACAAAAGTACCTTGTTCTTCTCAACTTGTGCCTACAGGCCCACAGGGCGTTCTCTATGACCAGTTGGCCAGGGAAGAAGAAATACAGACTCGGTTTACAAGTGGCTCTGCACAACATTTAGCCCACTGGAAAGTGAAGAGCTACAGCATTAGACACCCAGGAGGCAGATCTTTGAACATCACAGCTAGTTTATTTGACCCAGAAGGACAGATGGCCAGAGGTACACATGGTTGACAATGTTTCATGTGCAGTACTGAAGAAATGGTTTGCCTGGTTGTCCAGGAAAAGAAGTTCTGAAGAAGAGATGTGAAAGGACCAATCTAAACAGGCTAGGAGGGTAAAGATACTTGAATTCAATATGAATGCTCACTGAGTCAAAGATTTGAATAACCAGTAGACAAGACAACCTGCTCTGCAGATGTAAATTAGCCTCTTTCCCCAGGGACACTGTCCTGAAGTTCTGTTTTCAGCCACCTTGTTTGTGGTGTTTGTTTATGACAGCCTGGGACTGAACACACCCATCTGCACTATTCTCCCATTCTCTAACACAAGTTTTGTCTGGATATTTCTTTACTTGGAAGGCCTCTTCTTGGGCCTGTACCCGTGAAATGTCAGTAGACCTGCCCCTCCTAGTTGTGACAACCAAAAATGTCTCTGGACATTGCCAAATGTCTCTTGGAGCACAATATTACTTCCGATTGAGAACTACTAACCTAGTCTAAGATGCTCAAATAGTGGCTGCCCTAAGTATACCTCAATACAGTCAACTATACCTCGGCAGTCGACTGCTCTGAAATGCATTGAATTTGACACTGATGCATTTTTTAAACGAAACTAAATGTCTCTGCACTCATCATTTGTTTAGTACTCAATGTGTAAACTAGAACTTGTCAGTGGTTTTTTTTTTTTTTTTTTTTTGTCTTTTTGAGACACGGTCTCACTATACAGTTCAAGCTAGCTTTGAGCTCACTTTGTAGCCAAGGCTGGTCTCAAACTCGCACAATCCTCCTGCCTCAGCCTCCCCAGGGCTGGGATTACTGGTGTGTGCCACCATGCCCGGCTTGTCAGTGTTGACTGCATCACACTTGCTACCTTTTCCAGCCAAAACCATTTGTTTAGTACTTGTCAACCTCCCACAACCAGTTAATGATGAGTCCCACGTTACCACTGTATTTGAGTTATAGGATTTCAAAGGGCGAGTGTGACTCAGAACAAACACCCCCAAAGACAACACAGTGGATCTTGTATCTCTTTTGGACAGAGTATGGTTTTGGTTCTATGAGGCACAGTTACACCTTTTAAGCACAAGCACAACTTTAATACTTTTTTATTTGGAAGCTAAATGTGATCATAAGGGGCACAGATGGATGCTACACTGCTGAGGTGGACTAGAAGGATTCGTACTGTGTTGGTCTGATTAAGCTAGGGGATATGCTTGACAGGCTCCCCTTCTCTTTTATGTTTCCAACTTAAAGTTGACAAAAACAGGATCTCACACAACCTGGCAGGCAGAAGTAAAGCAGCAGTCATCTTCCCAAGGTTGTCCAGCGTGGTGGCAGTCACCCACTACCCAGCAAATCTAGCCCCATATCCAGCTCTGTGTCCAGTTACTGTCCCTACTGACGAACAGCTGCCCCAGCCCCTACCTGGGTGTTTACACAGAGGCAAAGGCTCCCTACAGACCTCCTCAGGAGCTTCCTGTCTGCAGTTCTCCAGTCAACAGCTGGACACCTGCTTATCAGACCCCAGGATGTAGAACCTCGGACCAAACAACTCCCTTCTGACCTCTGCATCCCCAGCCCTTCACCAGTGTGCAGGGCCTAATTCCTCCAGTAAATCCTGCACACACAAAAGGAACTCTATTCTCCTGATGGGTCCCCAGGACACAGGGACCCAGTGCTCCACACCATTCAATGGTTCTTGCTTTGGTCACGCCAAGCTGAAGGAAAACAGACCACCTCCCTCTGCACAACCT